CCCCCGGCCTCTGCCTCGACCTCTAGCAACAAGGGGGGCAGCTCCTCCCGGGTTCGAAACATGTGCTGTGCACGTTCTCACCATCTGTAAGAGAATAAGAGAAAGAAACTTAGTACACCATCAACTGCACGATAAGGGATGAATGGAGAGTAGTTTCCTAACACCCTATAGCCTCTCAAAGATAAGTACAGACGTCTCCGCACCGATCCGCAAGACTCTATTAGGCCTGCCCATAACTTGTGACACCTACTTGAACCTAGTGCTCTAATACTATGTTATCGCGACCCAATTCTATTATAGGCCATGATGGCGCCCAACACCATTGCTAGGCAAGACAACAATGAACGATCTTGTGATTTTCCCCTTTTAATAAGTTTTTCAAGCAAATAACTTTCCTTAATTTTAAAAGAATTAATAAATAACATATTTAAAATAATTAAACGAAAGCAGCTGAGTGCAATCATAACCATAGAAATAAAACCAAAATCACAAGTCTACTAGTGTGTGCCAAGACCTGGTGTCACAAGTGTATGAGCATTCTGGTAGAATATACAAACGAATACTAGTCTACTGTCTGAGGTGAAATAGACAGAAAATATAAGGAAAAGAAAAAATCCAGTTGCTGTAGAACGGCTTGGAAGGCAGCTCACCATGAAGTCTCGAAGTGGTAATCAAGTGTATGCGCCAGACTGATATCGAGATGCAACTACCTCAGATCCTGCACATTTAAGTGAAGAAGTGTAGCGTGAGTACATAAACAACATATACCCAGTAATTATCTAGTCTAACCTCGAAGAAGTAGTGACGAGGGGTCGACTTCGGCACTTACTATGGGTCAACAATATAATAATATGAAATTCTAATTAAACATGATAGATATAAATGCCAATAGAACTCAGAGTAAGAAATAAATAAACAATCATCTCACCGTTAGTAAGAACCGAATCATTTCCCTAATTTAAACATGTAATTTCTCAGCCAATGAATTTATATAAAAAATAAAGGGGACTTCCAGTATTATTACGCACGAATTATGCCGAGGACGTATGGACCGATCCAAATATAATTATACATATACTGTGTGCATTACCGAGGGTCAAACGACACGAACCATAGATGCATCTATTAACCTGCCGAGGCGAACAGACCTCTTCCATGAGAGTAGTGGAAAATTTACCCCGCTCGCGGAATATACTTGCGACACGGTTGAATGTAAAAAGCATGGTGTAAACCTAAGCTACATAAGAATGACTAGTAGCTACGTACGAACTCTCGCCACGTCGTGCATACGTAGCCCCCACAAATAGAAGCACCTATTAATTAAGTTCACCTATGGGGTAAATTCCCTCTTACAAGGTTAGAAAAGAGACTTACCTCGCCTCAAAGATTACTTTTTTGTCCAAGAATGTGCCCAAACCCTCAATACGGTGCCAAATGACTAGAAACTAGTCAAATATTATATAAAATAATTAATACATGTTTAGAAGTTCATATCCTAACTATCAAAGGTATTACCCAACCCCGGTTGTAGGATTCCAAGAATTCACCCCGGGCCCACGTGCCCGGATTCTGGAAATTTTCGAAGAAAGTTGTTACCCATAACCTCATGAACTCATATATGATTTTCACTAAATTCCATAAAAAATTTTATGGTTAAATCCTATTTTTATCAAAACCCTAGGTCTTCACTAAACCCATGATTTTCACTAATTTACATGTTATAATCTACTCATAAACTATGCTTTTAACTCACATTCGGTAGAAATTACTTACCTCAATTAGTTGATGAAAATCCCTCTCTAACTAGCTCCAAAATCGCCTCCAAGAAGTGTAAGAAAGAGCAAAAATGCCTAAATCCCGTATTGAATAAAGTGGTCTGCCTCCAGCGATTCCGTACCTGCGGTCGCAGGACCGCACCTGTGTCATCGCTTCTGCGGAGGTGCCAAGGCAGGCTGGCTCCGCTTCTGTGAACGCAGTCCCGCTTCTGCAGAGCGTGAGGTGCACCTGCCGATCCTGGGCTGCCCTTTCTTGGCCACTTTTGCGAGGCCTTGCTCACTTCTGCGAGCTCGCACCTGCGGCCCTAGTCTCGCAGGTGCGATTACACCTGAAGTCTGGTGCTTCTGCTGATGCTTCCCATGTCAAAACTTGGTCTGAGCCTCGTCCGATTAACACCCAGGGCCCTCGAGGCCCCGCCTGAACATACCAACAAGTTTGAAATTATAAAATGAACTCGCTCAAACTCTCGGAATGCACCAAACAATGTTAAAACGAAGAATCACACCCCAAACCAATTGAATCAAAACTATGAACTTCAAGTTTTTCAATTTACTCCCAATGCGCCGAAACGTACTTAAACTACTCGGAATAACACCAAATTCTGTATGCAAGTCTTAAATGACACTACGGAACTATTCCCGATCTTGGAATTCCATTTGGACCTCGATATCACCAAAACCTACTCCAAACCAAATTTAACGAACTTCAAAAACCTTCAAAGAACCAACTTTGACTATTAGGCGCCAGAATGCTCCCGGCTTATCCAAAATCCAATCCGAACATACGTCCAAGTCCGAAATCATCATACAAACCCATTGGAACCGTCAAATCCTGATTCCAAGGCTGTTTACTCAAAATGTTGACTGAAGTCAAACTTAGCCCTTTTAAGGACAACTTAAGGAATCAAGTGTTCCGATTTCAACCCGAACTCTTCCAAATCCCAAACCAACCATCCCCGCAAGTCATAAAAAGTAAAAGCACGTACGGGAAGTCTTATTTAAGAAAACGGGGTATTAGAAAGAAAAAACAACCGGTCGGGTCGTTACAGTTAATACTTCATTGAACCTAATACGATTACCCTTAATAACCTTCTTAATTAAAACCAAAATTAATGCTGGTCTTTGTTAATTTGCTTATTTGTTGGTTTTGTTTTGGGTAATAAAAAGAATCTTCAATTCCCTTTTACTTCTATGTGTTGTGTGCATGAATCAATTAACTATTAGCTTGTTAAAGGACGACATAGCAATCGATGTACCATTGAAGTTATATCATGTATTTTTATATTTATTCTTTTTTACTATTGAACATATATAGATGTTTAACCAAAAATTAGATTTTAGGTCAAAGCTTGAATTTAGAAGAACACGAGTTACTGATAATCGAAAAAGAGTATACAAAGAAAGAAATTTGTGAATAATATAATCAGAAAGCAAGTAAATCAAAGTATATTCCAATAGTATTTTTTTCGTCCCTACAGTTGTTTGTGACTTTCCCTTTTATAGCCATTTTGGGAATACAGACTTTACCTTTGTCATAATAAGACAATTATGGGCAATTAATAACATTAAATGTTACGTTATGCAATCATATATGTTAAATACATATTCTCTAACGTTTCAGTATTTAATACTCATTAAATGCTGTATCTGGGCTCTTTTTTTGCAGTCAGATTCATTCCTTTGACTCTTCATGATCTTTGACCTTGAAATATCTTGAATAGGTACGAGCGTTGAATTACTTGTATGACTGCTCGTGCCTTCTCCATTTAACTTGTTCGTATCTGTTATTGCTCGTATCTGTTGTTGCTCGTATCTGTTAACCAACCTTAATTCTTTGACTGTTTGACCAGTCTACGTGTCATGACACGTCACCTTCAATATGCAGAGTAAATTTTTCCCAATACAATAGATTCATTGAAAACTCTCTCTTTTTGGGTTAATTAGTTGGAAGAGTCAACTAGAACTTTAATTTTCATATCAATAAAATATGTAACTTATGTTTATTGATAGTGTTAAGAATTTTTTGTGTTATTTCAACATATCATAGCCTGTTTTATGCCATTATCTTTTTACAATTTGATAGTATAAAAATATTTTTAAATTGCCAGTATATATAAATTAAACTCATTAATAAAATGCGTTAGATATTAAGATTGCAGCTGAGAGAAAAAGGTATAATAGGATAATGTTCTTATTCATTCGTCATATATGTTTAGCTTTGAAGTCAAATCAATGGCTGAGTGCAATGAATTAAGGGGTCTTTTGGTTCGTAGATAAGTTATTCAGAAATTAATTATGTACGGATTAATTATACAAAAATTTGTTATGCAGGTATTAGTTATGCATAAATTAATTTTGCAGAGATTATTATGCAGGGTTTAATTCTTTTTGAATGTTCGATTTGTTGTATTAAAAATGAGTATATATTATATAATTAGATATATATAGACAATTATTCGCTATAAATATTATCCATAGGTAAAAATTAAACCGCTCTCTCGGCGCACGTTAGAGTGCATGTGCTAACATACGCTGGCGGCCATGGGGAGGGGACGACCAAGGAAAATTGCTATTGTAACTCCGGTGAATGATTGCGCAGGTACGAGTAATCCAAAACCGACTGAAATTCTGAGAAGAGACCCAGGAAAAAGTCTAATGGAACAGTGGCCACCATTGTCGACCATGAAGGAACCTGTAAAAACTCCATTAGAGAAGAACGAGCATAGTAGTAAAGTGACAAATAACACTCCGATGATACATGCAAGCACAGATACAACCAAATCGGCTACTAATGGGCAGAACATGGATCCAATTATGGTTGAAGTGGGGGAAGCACGGGATGCAGGGGAGGTAGCTCATCCTCAAATGAGTTTACCTGAAGAAGAGGCTGGGAAAGGACGGAAACAGTGGGTGAATCTATTTGCGGGATCGAGTTATGCGGCGAAAGGTATGGATCTGAGCTTCATTGCACCTACTATAAAAAATGGTGAGATAACTGTGGAACTTTGTAAGGAAGAGATAGAGGAAGAAACTCAGAAATGGAAGCTAGCACTAATATTGTATGTTGTTGGAGGAAGTCCAATAATAGGAGCCATGAAAAGGTACATTGCTTCAGTGTGGAACTTTGTGGCTAAACCTAAAGTGTATTTTCATAATGATGGCTATTTTGTGGTTCGATTCAATTCAATTGAAGATAGGGATGCAATTCTGTATTCAGGGCCACACATGTTGAGTAATAAGCCTATAATTGTCAAAGTATGGTCGGCTGATTTTGATTTCACTAAAGAGGTTCTCCAAACAATACCAGTATGGGTGAAATATCCCAACTTGCCTTTGAATTGCTGGGGACAAAAGTCACTTAGTAGGATCAGCAGTGGAGCGGGAGTTCCTCTTTATGCAGATGCCTGTACTACTCAAATAGATAGGATCTCATACGCAAGGGTGCTTGTTGAAATGGATGTGACAAAGGAGCTTCCTACATCTATTAAAGTGACTGATCCTAATGGTAGGGAGTTTATGCAGGAAATAGCATATGATTGGGTACCTGAGTTCTGTACTAAATGCATAAAAGTTGGCCATCAATGTAGAGTGGTTGATCAAAGTGGTCTAAAAGGGAAGAGTAAGTATGTAAATCAGAAGCAGGAATGGCAGCCCAAACTGATCTCCAAAGTACAGGAACCAGCTAAGGAACAAGTGCAGTTAAAGGAAATCATAACGAAGAAGAATGCTAGTACTAATGCAGCAATGGCAAGTACTAGTGCAGGAAGTACAGGAAATGAAAGAGGACATGAGGAGCAAAGGTGTCAGACTATTATAGGGAAACCAATAACTAGAAGTAGAGAAAGACAATCAACTGATGTAGTGAGTGTCATCAATGGATTTAATCTCCTTGCAGAGTCAAACTTACAGTTAGTTATGCCAAGACAGATAGAGGGAGGAGCAGGAAGACAACAGGGTGATACTGGGCAAGAAGATACTTTACAACCCCTTTTTATACCTGTATGAAGTTAGTAACTTGGAATATAAGGGGACTAAATAAAGTCCCTAGACAAAAAGAGGTAAAGAGGTTCATTTGTAGTAAGAAAGTAAGCATAATAGCATTACTAGAGTATAAAATAAAAAGCAGAAGGCTGAACAAGTTATAAGGAAAATTACTCCTGGATGGGCATATCTTGACAATTATGAACACAGTAGCAAAGAAAGAATATGGTTGCTTTGGGACACAAATGAAATAGAATGCAAAGAGGTGAGTAGTACTGCTCAGACTATCCACACTGTAGTCTATATTAGGAGATTGGATATGAGATTTACATTCACAGCTGTGTATGGCTTGCATAGTATTGAAGATAGAAGAAGTATGTGGAGTGAACTGACTAGGCTGCACTCAATACAACAAGGACCATGGTTGATCATGGGAGATTATAATGCTATTAGATCAATTGAAGATAGGCCAGTTGGGAATACTGTACAGGATCAGGAAGTAAGAGACTTCAATGAATTTATAGAAGATACTGGAGTGACAGAAATGAAGACTAATGGAAGGAAATTTACATGGACAAATGGACATACCTATAGCAAAATTGACAGAGCCCTGATCAATGCTGATTGGATGCTGGTAACGGCTCAAATGGAGGTATTGGTTATGGACCCTCACTGTTCTGATCATTCACCATTGAGCATAACTCTGGAGGAGGAGGAAGATTTCAGCCCCAAGCCTTTCAAATTCCTCAATCACCTAGCTGAGCATGATGATTTCGTAAAGATAGTTAAGGAAGCATGGGAGAGGCCATAGGAGAAACATAATATGAGATGTATCTGACAGAAATTAAAGAGGGTAAAGCAGGCTATGAAGACCTTAAATAATAATGAATACAATGTTGTTGGTGACAGGATCAAGGTATGCAGGCAAAAACTAAATGATATGCAAGAACAAATGAGAGACCCTAGACAAAATGAAACCTCAGTAGCTGAAGAGAAGGAAATGAAAAAACAATTGGAGAAATGGCTAAGAGTGGAGGAAAGTATTATGAAGCAGAAATCAAGAGTTAATTGGCTGCAGCTAGGGGATGCCAACACAACATATTTCTTTGCAACTATGAAAAATAGATGCAGTCAAAACAAGATAAGAAGATTAACAAGAGGAAATGGGAGCATAGTACAAACAAAGAAGGATATTGAAGAGGAGGTGACAGGGTTCTATCAGCAGCTATTGGGTTCATCAGCAAGTGAACTACCAGCTATCAATCCAGCTATTATGAGAGATGGTCCCATGATGAATAGACAACAACAATTACTACTCAATGCAGAGATCACAAAGGAGGAGATTTTTCAGGCTTTGGAAGGTATCAAGGATAACAAAGCCCCTGGGTGTGATGGGTTCAATGCACTATTTTTCAAAAAGGCTTGTCCTGTAGTAGGAGATGCAATCACAGATGCAGTCATGGAGTTCTTTGATAGATCCTATCTGTATCAGCCTATTAATTGCACAACAGTGACCCTTATTCCTAAGGTGAAAAATCCTTCTAAAATAATTGAGTACAGGCCAATATCATGCTGCACAGTTATTTACAAGATCATATCATAGATCCTAACTAACAGACTCCAAGGAGTGATGGATGGAATGGTGGATAAGAGCCAGTCTGCATTTGTGCCAGGTAGACTGATAAGTGATAACGTTATACTCAGTTATGAGCTAGTAAAAGGCTATGGCAGGAAAGGTATTTCTCCCAGATGCATGCTGAAGATAGATATGAAGAAGGCATATGATTCAGTGGAGTGGGGTTATCTAGAGCAAGTGTTGACACATCTGCAGCTGCCAGGAAGATTTGTAAATGGATTATGAGCTGTGTTACAATAGTATCCTATTCTATTATGATTAACGGTCAGCCTACAAAGCCATTTCATGCTAGGAAAGGTTTCAGACAAGGAGATCCCCTATCTCCTTACCTATTTGTGTTGGTTATGGAATATCTGACAAGGTTGCTGAAAACTCTCAAAAGGGATCCTAACTTCAACTATTACCCTAAATGTGGCAAACTAAACATAGTGCAACTAAGCTTTGCTGATGATCTACTACTATTCTGTAGAGGAGATGCCATGTCTGTCCAGCTACTGTTCAAGTGCTTTCAACAATTTTCAAGGGCATCAGGACTAGAGGCAAATACTGATAAAAGTTCCATATTCTTTGGGGGAGTACATGCTGAGATGCAACAGAGGATCTTACAAGACCTGGGATTTGTCAAGGGAACTCTACCAGTCAGGTACTTGGGAGTACCATTAAGCTCTAAGAGGTTATCATTGATACAGTGCCAGCTACTACTTGACAAGTTGTTAGGAAGAATCCAAGCTTGGACAACAAAGTTCCTGTCTTATGCAGGGAGAATACAACTGATTAAGAGTGTGCTTTTCTCCATTCAAGTATACTGGTATCAGGTGTTTGTATTACCAAAGAAAATCATTCAGAATATTGAGAAAGTATGCAGAACCTTTCTTTGGACAGGGGGAGTAGAAGCATCAAGGAAAGCTCTAATATCATGGGACTACTTGTGTAAACCCAAAGCAGCTGGTGGTCTTAATTTGCTAGATATAGAGGAGTGGAATAAGGGTGCCATATGTAAGCTTCTTTGGAACCTGTGTAAGAAGAAGGACAGGCTATGGGTACAGTGGATACATGTATATTACAAGAAGCAGGATACAATATGGAACACTGCACCAAAACAAGCATCCTGGATAGTGCAGAAGATACTGAAGGCTAAGCAATACTTTGAAGAAGCTGGCTATCAAGAGAGGGATATAGAGGAGATAAACAAATTCTCTATCAAAAACATATATGGGAAACTGAGGGGGGAGTTTGATAGAGTGTCATGGAGGAAACTGGTGCATAGCAGTATTGGGGTTCCAAAGTGGAATTTCATAGCTTACCTAGCTGCACATAGGAGACTAATGACAAAAGACAGGCTGAGGGGTATGGGATATGTGGAGGATGTAACATGCTCTTTATGCAATGGTGAGGAGGAGACAGTGGATCACCTGTTTTTCAAATGTAGTTATGCATCAAGAATATGGGCAGCAATGCTACAATGGCAAGGCATTCATAGGCAACCAATGATATGGGCAGATGAACTTCACTGGGCAGAGAAGTACTACAAAGGGAGGAGTACAAAGGCTGAGCTATACAAACTTGTGCTTGCAGAAACATTGTACTACATATGGCAAGAAAAGAATAATAGGATTTTCAACAGAGTTCAAAGATCAGAAGCCATCATATGCAGATCAATCACACAGGATGTACATGGAAGAGGAGGAAGCAAGCACAAGATACAAAAGAGATTGGAGGAACTTAATTACTATCCTAGTTTGTAAAGTCCATTCCATAGGTAGTAGTTAGATAAGATGTTCTTGTATGTAGTTGATGAAGGAAATGTGACGCAAAATCTGGGATGTATGTCCAGATTAAGCTCGATGACAGTATGTACATATTTGTTTGTGTAATGAAATTTAGTTACCAAAAAAAAAAATTAGATATATATAATTTTTTGTTTTAATTTAAAGATTTTATTTACTATTATAACCTTTGACTTTCTTTAGCTTTGTATATTTCACGTATACTAGTTTCTTGTCACATGCGTTGCACGTGAATGTCAAACTCGGGTCAAACATATGTTTTTATTAAAGTATTGGGTATTCCTTTTTATTGTAGTTCTTAGAGAATTGACAGTCTTATATGAATTTCATAAGTTGCTATTTGATAATTGCAACTTGAATTCTTTCTCATTCATATCTCTAAGTTAATATTAAATTCGCATGTGAATTAATATAAAAGGGTAAGGATACAAAATCCTTAATGTCTATCATGGAGTTGGCGCTTCACCAATTGAGAAGCTAATTAAAATAGTTACCTCGGAATTAGTTGAAAACTTCATGATATATATTTTAATTTAAAAAAGGGGTGATTTACAGACATAGGACACTTCACGTGCCACTCTTGGTTTTTATTTCGTTTGCCCTGTGATCTTAACAGTTTGCCCATGAAGCAAGGCGGTTTAAGAAAATCAAGAGTGACAATTTTCATGGTCATTGGATGTAACTTTCTGCTTAAAAAATATTCAATCGGTCGTCAGAAAGGTTTACGAATATCATGGATTACGAATTTCACACTCTCCAAGAAGATAACGTTCTAGAGAATTAATACCCGAAAAGCTAGAAATATTTCATCAAAAGACTTGAGCGCCTAAAGTATGACCAGAATAACATATAGTCAGAACAATATACCTTGTTTAGCAACCAAAGTAGTAAATCATGAAATAATCTTGTAACGATTCGATCGATCGTTTTGCTCTCTGGAATCTCGTTCCCATAAATAAGGCTCCCCATATGTGCTTTTATTGTTTTATGACTTGTAGGGATAGTTAGTTCGGAATTTGGAAGAGTTCGGGTTGAAATCGGAACACTGGTTCCATGGTTTGGCCTTAAAAGGGCTAAATTTGACTTCGGTTAACGTTTTGAGTAAACGACCTAGGAATTGGCTCTTTGAAGGTTTTGAAGTTCATTAAATTTGGTTTGGAGTACGTTTTGGTGTTATCGAGGTCCAATTAGGATTCCAAGGTCGAGAATAGTTCCGTAATGTCATTTAAGACTTGCACGCAAGATTTAGTGTCATTCCAAGTAGTTTAAGTACGTTTCGGGGCATTGGGAGTAAATTGAAGAACTTGAAGTCCATATATTGATTCAATTGGTTTGGGATGTGATTCTTAGTTTTGGTGTTGTTTTGTGCGTTCCGAGAATTCGAGCTAGTACATTTTATGATTCCAAACTTGTTGGTACGTTCGGGCAGGGCCCCGGGGGCTCCAGGTGTTAAATGGATGAGGCTCGAATCAAATTGTGGCTTAAGGAAAAATGCTGAAGCTTCAGCTTCTGGTCTAAACGCACCTGTGCTTGGCCAGCCGCAGGTGCGAGCAACAAACCGCAGAAGCGGACCAGCAAAGGGAGGCCAGTAAGCGCAGAAGCGAGTCAGAGACTGCACCTGCGAAGGCGCAGGTGCGAAGGTAGCCATCGCATGAGCGGACAGCTTCGCAGGTGCGCACATGTTGCCGCTGGTGCGGCTCTGCAGGTGCGATCGTCTGAGCGCAGATGCGAGAGGAGGCAGCTTGGCCTTGGTCCCCACCCGCATGATTTGGTCCGCAGAAGCGGAACCGCAGGTGCGAAAATCGCAGAAGGTAGACCACTTTATTTAATACGGGACTTAGGCATTTTTGCTCATTTCTTATACTTCTTGGGGCTGGTTAGAGAGGGATTTTAATCAACTAATTGAGGTAAGTAATTTCTACCGAATGTGAGTTAAATACATAGTTTATGGGTAGATTATAACATATAAATTAGTAAAATTCACGGGTTTAGATGAAGACCTAGGGTTTTGATAAAAATAGGATTTAACCACGAAATTTGTTATGGAATTCAATGAAAATCATATATTTGAGTTCATGAGGTTATGGGTAACAGCTTTCTTCAAAAATTTTCGGAATTCAGGCACGTGGGCCCGGGGGTGAATTCTAGGAATCCTACAACTGGGGTTGGGTAATCACTTTAATAGTTGGAATATGAACTTTTGAACATGTGTTGATTATGTAAATGCCTAATTTTTGCTCTTTTCAATTCTTTTTCTTTACATTATAATTTTTAGAATTCTTATGTGTGTATTTTTAGGCTTTTAAATTAGATTATGTTAAATAATTTGATATGGGGGTTAAAGGATTGGACTAGTGTATTTTGACTAAAATTGAACCAAAATTGGCC